GTGTTCTTGTGCATATGCCCTCTCTTCTTATCAGCTGGATGCTTCACTCTCCACTCTAGTCCTCTGTGGCTATGTCACTGACACTGGGCCCAAGAGTCCTCAGGTCTTGCCATATTGCTGGCCAACCAGGTTTCCACCCGGGTTCACAGGTATCTATTGAATGTGATAAGGCTTAGCTCGCAGCTTCATTGTTGTTTTTCCCTCACTTCCCCTTCTTGGTGACCAATGTGGTCACCAGTCACAGCGCATGCTGTTGTCTATTCCCATTGAGTTTAATCTTGGAAGGGGGTTTGCCCTGAGGGGACCTGACCACATGCCTTGATGTGTGATGGGTGAGCAACTTGCTTGTTCTTTTCTTTGAACTTTTGTGGGTACTTACTTTTACTCTGTTTTATACCAATGCCTAAAGTAATATCAAAATTTATGCATAATAATTATAGGTTGAATGAATAAACAGTTGTTTTTGCTGTTTAGTGCTGTCGACTTGGTTGTGACTCACAGTGACCTTGTATAGGGTTTCTGAGGAGTGCCTGGTGAATTTCGAACTGCTAACCTTGCAGTTCAAACCGACCTGTGGTCCAGTGCTTGTCCTCCAGTGCCACAAAGGACTCCAACAGTAGATAGAAAACAACATATTCTTTTGTGATGTGAATGTGCTGTAACTAAACACAAAAATTGAGTTTATTGTACTTTTATTTAGCTTAGTGTTGAAGATGGAGTGTGGTTCTGCAGGATAAGCACTGAACTGCTAACTGCAAGGTCAGTGGTTCAAACATACCTCCTGCTCCTTGGAAACCCTATAAGGGTTGCTATGGGTTGGAACTGATTTGACAGAACTTAACAACAACAGTGTTGAAGATGAAGGAAAGTTTATAAAATATGTATAAATAAGCTATCTTTTGTGAGTGTTTCTTAATCTGTTTTGAATGGTAAGGTAAATGCTTTTGTAACAAGATTGCTTAATTATATTTTAATATGTGAAGTGAGCTAGTTGTATTTGGTGTGACTTTTTTTCTGATATGAAAAGACTTAACTGAATGACTTGATTGAAGTACATTGTATAGTTTTTTTTTAGAGTGAAAAGGTTAGGGTAAATTAGGAAAATTTAGCAGCCTAACGAATAATCTTCTTAGGTTAGTATAATTTATAACCTAATATTTTGGTGCCTTTTAATTATGTATTTTAAGACTTTCCTAAGTATCTGTAATGAGAGGTCCAGAGGACTTAAGTGACATGTTTTAGATCACTAAGTTAGTTGGTTGCAGTTGTAGAGTGGATGATGTTCATGTCCCATCGAATTGGTTTCAGCTTTTAGTGAGCCTATATAAGGAGCTTTGGTAGCGTAGTGGTTACGAATCAGGTTGCAAATCTCACGGTCAGCAGTTTGAAACTACCAGCTGTTCTGCAGGAGAAAGATGAGGCTTTCTGCTCCCATAGAGATTACAGCCTCAGAAACACTGTACAGGGTTGCTGTGAGTCGGAACCGACTCCATGGCACATACCAACAACCACATACAGGGTTTCAGAGACTGTAAATCTTCACGGGAGCAGAAAGCCTCAGCTTTCTCCCATGTAGCACTTGATAGATTCGAACTGTTGATCTTGTGATTACCAGCCCAGCTTGTAACCCACTTTATTATTGGGCTCCTTGTTTTGTTAGAAATAATTAAATTTTTTTTGTTTAAATGCTCCATACTTTGTCTTTATATCATTAATTTTAATTGCAGCAAGATAGGTTAAAATGATAAAATTAAATTTAGATTACTGTGGCTATCTTCACAAGGATCTGAATTTTAGGGTACATATTTTGAGCAGTTCTTAGCACTATATGGTTTTGATATGAGTTGAAAATCTGAATATGAAAAAGTGTTGGAATATGAACTATTTCAGATCGGTGGGAAATTCATGTTATAATGTGAAAGTCAATGAATCAAATGCCAGAATGTCCAAGTTTTTTAATTTCTTTAATAATTAATTAAATGAATACCTTGCAGAAGTCACTTAATGTTTGTGATACTTGATTTCTTGTTCTGAAAACAAGGGAGTTATGACTACATGTTGTATTATCTAGATATTTTCATGATGAGCAAGATATTGGGACTTTCAGTTCTTTCTTATGCAACATTTTGTTTTTTCAGGAGTTAATAATTGCTTTTCAAACACTACTTGCCCAGTGTTCTTTGTATCTCTTTTTAGTCTCTCATACCTTTTGTTATTGTTGTTAAGTGCCAGTGAGTCGGTTCTGACCCATAGCGACTCTGTATAGGATTTCTGAGGAGTGACTGGTAAATTTGAACCGCCGACCTTGCAGTTACAGCCTCTTAATTATTGGCTAACCCATTTGTCAGCATTTCTTTCCTGGAGATTTTCTTCCAGAAGTCTTACCTCTTTTTACTGCATGTATTCTCAATGTGGAATAGTATCATTGGGGTAAAATTGGTTGTTGGGGGACAAAAAATCCTAGATATTTCATTGATTTGTAGCTCTCTGAAGGGCTGGGTTACATAGTTGCACAACATGCCTGTGGTCTTATTTTTTGAGGGGGAGCAATTAGTAAAACTGTGTCTACAAAGGTCCAGTTGATTCTGACTCATAGCAAACCTATTATTGTTGTTAAGTGCTGTCGAGTCGGTTCTGACTTATAGTGACCCTGTATGGGGTTTTCCAGGAGTGGTTACTTAGCTTGAACCATCAGCCTTGCAGTTCAAACTGACTTTGCAGTCCAGTGCATTAACCCATAGTGCCACACTAGGACTCTAGCAAACCTATGGGACATAGTAAACTGACATATTTGGTTAGTAATCAAGTGCTTAACCACTATACCAGCAGGACTCCTAAAAAGGCTTATTGTGGGGAGATGATACAATAAAGGTTGAGAAACACTGTTCTACTCCAGTGTGTATCGGTTGCTTTCCAAGGCATGTTCCACAGCTGTCATGCTGGGGAAGTCCCATTCTTTTTTGTGAAATATCTTGTTCATATCTTTTTTGATATATTCCCTGGATATGTTGAAGGGCATCTCCAGTAGCCTCCAGAGAAAGGATGAATGGAAGGTGAAGCTTTAAAGACGTGGATGTCTGAAAATGTTATTTTCTATACAAGATTGATGGCTTGACTGTGTTTGCTATTGGTTAGAAATAATTTTCTTCACAATTATTCCACTTACTTCTGACTTGCATTGATTTTCTTCAACAGCCAGATGCTATTCTGGTATCTGTTTTCCTTTAACCTTGCTGTTTTGAAATTTCATGTAGATGAAATTCTTTAGTACTTAAAGTTCTTTTCTTTGGGGCTAGTTTCTCCAGAGAAGGATTCGCAGATCTGCTATCTGGTTGTGGTAGTTACGTGCCGTGGAGTTGGTCCCGACTCATAGCGACCCTGTGTAGGGTTTCCGAGGCTGTAAATCTTTACGGGAGCCGAAAGCCTCATCTTTCTCCTGTGGAACCACTGTAGTTTCGAACTGCTGACCTTGAGGTTAGCAGCCCAATTCATAACCACTGTGCTACCAGAGCTCCTTCTGTATACTGGGGGTGTGCCAAAATAGTCCATTAAAGATGATATGGGGTAGGTAGTTTATAAAAATAATGTGGTCATGATTTGGTTGTGAAGAATTATTTAATTGCTTTCATTCTTTCTCAGGTCCCTTTGAACATCCCTGAATAGGGAAGGGTTGAGTGCTGCTTGCCTTTAAAAGCAGGGAAAGCATATAGCTAAATTTTTAGCAGATTTTTGAAAAGTATCCCAGGTTGTTAGGATAAATTCCATTATAACAGAATAATAATGGTATTCTTTGGAGGTGATTAAAAAAAGGGATTAGATCAGTTTAATTTTTTATGTGTCTAGAAGCATACTTCTAGTGTTTACTGTTGATATGATTCTGCT